ACTACCATTTATCCATTCTCCTGTTCATAGACTTTATTGTTCCAGTTTTTGGCTATTGTGAGTAAGGCTGTGAGTACATTGCTTTATAAGTCTTTTAGTGAGTATATGTTTATGTTTCATTTCTCTTAAGTAAATATCCAAAATTATTTGACCATAGAATAGGTATATGTGTGTCTTTATCAGAAATTGTCAAATAATTTCCTCCCAGCACCATATGGGAGCTTCAGTTATTCTATATCTTCACCAACATTTAGTGTTATGTCTTTTTTATTTTAGCCATTCTATTAAGTGTTTAATAATATTTGATATTTTAAATGTACATTTTCCTGTTAACTAATGAAAAGGTTTGAGTACAAGTTCATGTGCCATAGTCTGTTTATCTATCTTCTTTGAAAAGTCTGTTTTCCCCCCGATTTTTAATAAGTGTGTCTTTTTATCATCAATTTGTAGGATTTTGTTATTGTTGTATATTCTCTCTTTTCTAAAGATTTTATTTATTTATTTGAGAGAGAGAAAGCATGAGCAGGGGTGGGGCAGAGGGAGAGGCAGGCTTCCCACTGAGCACGGAGCCCGATGAAGGACTCCATCCCAGGACCACGGGATCATGACCTGTGCGAAGGCAGATGCTTAACCAACTGAGCCACCCAGGCGCCTCAACTGTTGTATATTCCAGATGCAAGTCTTTTGTTAGATATATATTTAATCGGGTTTTTTTTTTTTTCCTTTTTTAAACCAGTCTGTGGCTTGTCTATTTTCTTAATGGTGTCTCTGCTGAGCAGAAAGTTTTAAAATTTTAATGTTGAGTTTATCCATTTTGTGTCATTATTGTTTGTGCTTTTTGTTTTCTGTCAAAGCAGTCTTTGCCTAACCCAAGAGGTAGAGATATTCTCTTGTATTTTCCTTCTAGAAGCTTTATGGTTCTGTGTTTTATATTTATGTCTATGACTCATTCATCCTGTGTTAATTCTTGGTTATGAAATGAGAGGGGTTGAGGTTAATTTTTCCACATGGCATCAAGTTGTTTCAGTTCAATTTATTTATTTATTTATTTATTTAAAAGATTTTATTTATTTATTTGACAGGCAGAGATCACAAGTAGGCAGAGAGGCAGGCAGAGAGAGGAAGGGAAGCAGGCTCCCTGCTGTGCAGAGAGCCCGATGCGGGGCTCGATCCCAGGACCCTGGGATCATGACCTGAGCCGAAGGCAGTGGCTTAACCCACTGAGCCACCCAGGCGCCCCTCAGTTCAATTTATTGAAATGCATTGATACCTTTGCTGAAAATCAATTGACTGTACATATAGTAGGTATATATATATATATATAGAGAGAGAGAGAGAGAGTCTATTACTTCTAGACTCTTTATTCTGTTTTACTGATGTATTTAGCTTTATAGGTCTTGAAATCCAGTAGTATAAGTTCTTCAGCTTTGTTCTATTTTAAGATTCTTTTGCCTGTTCTAGAACCTTTGTATTTCTATATAAACCATAGATATATTTACACAGTATATGATTTCTTATAGCTGCTAAAATAAATTACTACAAATATGGTGGTTGAAAACAACAGAAATGTATTCTTCCACAATTCTGGAGTCTAGAAAACCAGAATCAATATAACTGGACCAAAGTCAAGGCTCTAGGGGTAAGAGTCCATTCCTTGTCTCTTCCAGCTGCTGGTGGCTGTCAGCATTCCCTGGCTTATGGACTCATCACTCCCAGTCTTTGATACCATTATTTGAAATCCTTCTCTGTCTCTCTGAATGTTCTTCATACCATCTTCTCTTCTGTGTGTCACAGCCCCTCTGCCTCTTTTCAGAGTACTTTCCATTTAAAGATCTTCAAGTTACACCTTCAAAGATCCTTTTTCCTTATGTAACACTTTACAGGTCCCAGAGATTAGGACCTGATATCTTTAGGGGCCATTATTAGCCTACCATAGAATGTTTTATTCTCTTTTAGACCTTCGTTTTGTTCTGGAACTTGCTGTCAAAACAGATTGGACTGAGACTTTTAGCACCCTAAATAACATATTTATTTATTTGCTAATAATTGCCATTTCTTTCTTTCTTTCTCTCTCTTTTTTTTTAAGATTTTATTTATTTATTTGACAGACAGAGATCACAAGTAGGCAGAGAGGCAGTCAGAGAAAGAGGGGGAAGCAGGCTGCCCACTGAGCAGAGAGCCCGATGCGGGGCTTGATCCCAGGACCCTGGGATCATGACCTGAGCTGAAGGCAGAGGCTTTAACCCACTGAGCCACCCAGGGGCCCCTCTTTCTTTTTTTTTTTAAACATATAATGTACAGGGGTACAGGTCTGAATAATTGCCATTTCTTTTCTTTTCTTTTTTTTTTTTAAGATTTTGTTTGTTTATTTGACAGAGATCACAAGCAGACAGAGAGGCAGGCAGAGAGAGAGAGAGAGGGCGAAGCAGGCTCCCTGCTGAGCAGAGAGCCCAATGTGGGGCTTGATCCCAGGACCCTGAGATCATGACCTGAGCCGAAGGTAGAAGCTAACCCAGTTAGGTGCCCCTAATTGCCATTTCTTAATTGGACTCTGTATCATAGAATAAAATTTATTGCATTCTAATAATAGCACAACAAATTAGACCTAAGAAGCCTCAGATGGTGAGTTGCTTATTTAAAATAGCAGTCAGGAAAATACCAAGTTAGTAAGAAATTGTATTATGCTTGGACTATCATAGAACTGATCTGTGACTCAATAAAATTTAGTGATAGTTTCTCATTTTGGGTGGCCACAAACTAATTCTTGATTCTGTAGGGCTTTCTTGGTAAGGCTTGTTACATAAATCTTCACATAGTATTAGAAGAATAGGTCAGCTAGCTAGAGAACTTTAACGTTGCAAACTCTGTTTTGGTTTGGGGATGTTACTTAAATGGCCCAAATGTAGGGACTGCCTAGACCTCAGTATGGGAATGACTTTTATGAGGATGATTTGATAAATCATTATCATAAAAAGATGAAATAGTGAAGCCTTAGTTTCCCTTTCTTTTCTTCAGTCATTATATTAATTAGCTTAAATATTTAAATGTTGATAACTGTTAAATTTGGCATAGGAAGAGAAATAGTTTGCCAAAGGGAAATTCTCTTTGTTCGCCCTGTAATCTTTTTCTCAGCATGCACAGTGTTCTTCTGTGCAACCAGATAACACAATAGCTTTTGCTCTGCTAGCAAGAATCATCAGCAGTGTGAAAAAGTTCAGCTTGAAAAAAAATTCACTGTCAAAACCAGTAGTCTGTGTTATGATTAAAAATTTATATACATTCTGATTTCTGGATTGAGGATTGAAGTCAATTTACTTCGTGTTACTTGCCACAACTCACTGAGTGACTTTGGCCTTAGTAACTTGGATAATGCATGACATTACACTTGTAGATATTTTGTGTTCTTTCAATGTCTATAAAATAGTCAAAGAATTTAAGTGAGTATGCCATTATTAATTGATGAGTATGTGAGTGAATCATATTAATGTCATGAAATATAAAAATGGTGGGGGTTTTTTGCGTGTTTTATTATAAAAACTTGGAAGAAAAAGGACAAAATCTAAAGGAGGAAAACTAGTCTACTAATTCAAGGAGATTCCTAAGGTAACTTTTAAAATTAAGGTATGTTCTGTAACATATTTGATAAAGCTTTCAGAGTAATAACTGGTGGCAAATTCTAGTTGAATACTATCAAGTGGTTCCTTGTTTACTGGAGAGTGAAAAAATGACACGTTTGAAGATCTGCTAATATGGTCCCCAAGTTATTTAAGTGAAATGTATCTACATTTACATAACCTTTTCTCGCTTATTTGTTGAAAGACTGCTGAAATGCAAATGACATTGATTCTTTCAGAATGAATAAATAAAAAGAGAAGGGAGAGCCATGGAGAATATAGGGGGAAAAGGAAATAATATGAGATCTCTAGTAAGCCACATTTTACATTAGCATTTGAGAATTGATGAATTTGTATAAAACGTTCTTGTTTTGACCAAATACTTTAAACAAATTACTGCATATTGAAAAAATTTTTAAACATTTCCTAGGTTTTGAAAACACAAGTGAGAAAGATTTACTAATGAATTAACTTCTATCCCAATGTTTTGTTTAGTTCTTCAAAGTTGTTTCTTACTGGGATGCCTGGATGGCTCAGTTGGTTGAGCATCTGACTCTTGGTTTTGGCTCCAGTCATGATCTCAGGGTCATGAGATTGAGCCCCATGTGGGGCTCCGTGCAAGGTGGGGAGTCTGCTTGAGGTGCTTTCTCTCTCCCTCTGCCTCTGGCCCTCCTCCTTCTCGTGTGTGTGTGTGTGTGTGCGCGCGTACGCACGCACACACGCTTCTCTATCTCTAAAATAAATCCTTAAAACAAAAAAATGTTCCTTACCAATCTGCCCTAGAATCATTATTCAATAAAAGTTTTTGTTTGGGGATTTGTAACTTTAAAATCTTTAGGACTGAAAAAAAAAAATCTTCAGGGCTGAGCTGGAAGATGAAAGGTTATTTATTTTTAAGTATGATTGTATAATCTGATTTCCTAAGAAAAAGCTAATAGTTCAGTAGTGATGGTTTTTACAGCTAAGCACGTTATATAAGGAAAGTGTCATACTCTGCATAGTTTGTGCCCTTTGTCATGTCCCGCTCGTCTGCAAGTACCTATTTCTGTTTGCGTTAGTCATCCTCTCTAGGTAAATTGTCCATGAGACCAGTGATTCCATCAGCAAATTATCCAGAAAATGCTGTCTTTGCATGTTGTGACAGATTATGTCACTGGTGGATTTATAGCTACTCCAGTGGTCTCATTAACCTGGCAGTTGTCTTCTGTGCCCAGCACTGTTGTCTCATTGCTTTGGTGTCTTAGTTTTCATCTTCTCATCACCTTCTTTCTTAACTAAAACTTAGATTTACAAGTTTTGGGGTTTTTTGTTTTGTTTTAGTTTTTGTTTTTAACCTACCCCCCTCAACCCTCTCTACTCACCACCCCCTTTATTTTTGATTGGCAGTATCATCCAGATAAACAAAGTGCAGATGTGCCAGCAGGAACAGTGGAGCAATGTATACAGAAGTTCATCGAAATTGATCAGGCATGGAAAATTCTGGGGAATGAAGAGACAAAAAAAGAGTATGACCTGCAGCGGCATGGTGGGTACTTGGGGTGAGGAGCCATAGCACACTGGCAACTCTTTGAATAGCATTCTGCCGCCGTTCCTGAAGAGCGTTTTCCAGCCTTCGTACCAAGTTATTATTGCCGCCTTGACTCCTCCCCATCCAGCACTGTTTTTAACTATGTCCTCCGCTTAGTGGTGCTTATTGTGTATCTGTTGAGTAGTTAACAAAACTCCTAGGATGTGGCTTCTTTGGAAGCCATGAAAGCTGCTTTTTCTAACTAATGAAAAATGTTTAATCGCACATTTCTTTTTTTTTTTTTTTTAAGATTTTATTTATTTATTTGACAGACAGAGATCACAAGTAGGCAGAGAGGCAGGCAGAGAGAGAGGAAGGAAAGCAGGCTCCCTGCCGAGCAGAGAGCCCGATGCGGTGCTCGATCCCAGGACCCTGGGATCACGACCTGAGCCGAAGGCAAGAGGCTTTAACCCACTGAGCCACCCAGGCACCCCTAATCACACATTTCTAATTAATGTTTAATAACTTCTTTGCATTAAATTTAATTATGTACTCATTTTAATTGTAGCACTTTTAACAAAGTGTACTATATAAATGACAATCGAAAGGCGGGTACTATAGGGGATAACATCATAAAGTACTCTGCTGTCTTTCAGCTTGTTTTAGGCTAGGTTTCATGATTGTCTCCCAAATAAACTATTCTTTATAAGATTGCTATAAATGGTATTTTAGGAATGCACCTTTCCTAAGCAGTTTTAAAAGTCATTTCTTTTATGCATTTTAGAAAATAGCTTCTTAAAACAGTGACAAGCTCTTGTGAGAAAGAAAGAGAAAAATGTAGGTCAGGTTTGTCACACATAGACTGCAGTTACACGAAGTGATAGGCTGTCTTTCAGCAGTGGCCTTGGGATAGGAGTCCCTCAGTCTTCTATTCGAACCTTCAGTGTGCGCCCTGCATGCTAATGGGGGGGAGTCAATAATCAGTTACAGCCTGTGGGGAAGACACTCAATTGCACTCTGCGATAGCGCACCAGGTTCAACATTGACTCGAATGTGTTGATAAAAGCTCACTGTCTCTGTAGTTGATTATTGAATCCCCTCCCATGCCCTACACTGGCACATCATCAAACCTAACAAAATGATTTTAAGGCTCCAGCAACTATGGTTCTGAAAATTTGATTTGAGAAACGAGGCTTACTTCTAAAACACAACATTAGAGGATAAAGCCAATGGTATATATGGAATGCCCATATTTATTTTCGGAGGGAATTGTAGTGATAAAATTAAGTATTTATAACTTACAGGCAGTGTGTGTATCTTCGTGTATAAAGACTTCATGAACTATTCAGGTACTGGAGAACTTAAGAGTGGCTTTCATCATAGTAAACAGCTCTAAAGCCCTACTTTTTTAAGACTGATGAGCTTTTTAAAAATATTAGGAAACTGATGAGTGTACCTTTGCCATGAATTTGGATTAATTTTCAAATATGGCTTGAATATTGGGTCTTATCTATTTGGTGCATATGTAAGTATCTTGCACGTGTTGTATTTCTCTTATAAATATGTTTTACTTTTGGCAGAAGAATGTACAAGTGGATGAATTCTATTCACAGATCTATCTTTTTAACCTTGGTTCACATGATAGTATTTTCTGTGAAAAATACTGAAGCTATACACGAACATGTTGCGTGAGAAGTTACCTCTATGCTTTTTGCCCGTCTTTACCAGTCATTACTTTCTGGGTGCCAGTTTGCTTAAGGTAAGGATAATCCACAAAACTGTACTTTGAGGGGTGTAAGGTACATACTCGCCTTCTGGCTCTGCATTTTTGCCACTCCACAGCCTGTGTAGTGTTAAGAACCTGTCAGTAAAACTGACTGGAAGCCCGCTACCTAAAGAGAAGAGGGAGAAAACAGGAATAAAAAACTAATCTCTCTTGCTAGGGACTAGGGTATTGGTAGATGAGAAATGGAGAGAAATAGGCAACAGTGTTAAAAGTGAGCAGTAGAATTGCAGTAAAAAAAATGTAAGAACAAATAATCAACAGCTTTAACCCTTTCTCATTGCCCTTGGGAAGTCCTTGGAAATGTGGATTTCTTTTGAGCTTTTAGTCCTTGGTTTTAAGGTATTAATGGAGATAACTGCAGCCTGCAGGATCACAGGGGACTCTTGTAGGTCATTAATGAGGCCACAACATTTAGACAAACTGAATACGGTGAGAAATGGGCCTGATTCATAAACCGATAAATCAGCAGATCTGCTTGGAATTTATATAATGTTCGGTTTGCTTGGCAATTTTTTTAAGCAGGTTCTAGGAGGACAGTAGAAATGCAGCTTTTCCTGACCTTTTACTATGTCAGATCTAAGTACAAAGTATTTCCTTCATTACCAGCAGCTCCAGATGATGAGAATGCTTTACTTTTGTTTTAAATTAAGATTGGATTGCTGTTCAGATAAGAAGTAGAAGTCTCTTATCCAAATATAACTTGCTGTTTTTAAGCCTTTCATACTAGAGCTATTTTTAAAAATCTCATAATAGACCTAGTTTCATCTTGTCATTTCTTTTGAATGCTGACATTAATTTTTCCTTCTTGACCCATCTTCAGTAATTGGCTCCTCAAAAGAAGGAAATGAACTTGAACTTCTAACAGTGAGGATTTAGATTTGATAGAAGGAAAACCTTTGAGAGTGATAATTTGTTAAAGACCAGGATAGGTTACTAAGAGAGAGAGAATTTGTTATAATCAGGTCAAAGCACTTTTTTTTTTCTGGGTCACCCCCTGGGGACATGGAAATAGCTTTGTTATACAGAACTCTTTTTGCATGTGGTGATAGTTCATTGTAGAACTTTCTTTTCATAGGGTGTGCTTTAAATAATGTTTGTTTCCTGCCTTCCATTAACTTGGAATATAAAATCCATTAACTGTAATACTTGGGAAGGAGGCAAGAGACATTTTATTGATACGTTGAATGCTTTCTCATATTTCACAACTCAAAGTTGGTGCTCTGTTGTAAGAAAACTCATCAATATTGCTCACAAACATTTATTTCCCTAAGAGATTGTTTAAAGGGGCCCTTAACGTCCATATTTCTTTGCTTCACAAAAGATACTATCCAATGAGTTCTAATAAAGAAAAAGTCTAGGGTAGATAGCCCCAGTAAAGTACATATATTCTTTCTTCGCCATTTCCACGTATCTAGTCATAGTTGATATTTTTAGGGCAATGTTGGCCAGGCTGAAGAAAAGCAAATCTAAAAAAGGATCAGTAATATTCAGTTCCCAGATACTATACATTTTGAAAGCAGTGTTAACTAGTGAATTTAATCAATTAGTTCCAGTTGGCATATTTACCTTCTTGTTTCTAAGGATGCTTCCAAAGGCTTGCTTCCCATATTCCTTTGAAAGGCATGTAGTTATTCAAGATTAGGCTTTGCATTTCTAGACAACCAGATGAGCACTTTGGAAAATCTTTTCTGGATTTATAAAATGTTTAAATGAGTAATATCTGTCAAATAGATTTTGGTGCCCTTATAAGTATATGGGGAGTTTTCTTATATATTAAGCACATTAAAAAATGCATCAGAAGTATATTGTGGGAAAATAATAGGGATCATGATTCAGTTGCTTTGTAATATATGACAGTCACACAGATGTCCAATGTCTCAGTGGCGCTACAGAGTGACACAGTTGATGAGTTAGGTTTACTTCTTTGTGACCTGACGTAAAACAAACCTTCAACTGAAATCAGTCAGGTTAAGTAATGTTTTTAAAAAATAAGTGGATTGTGTTTGGAATCCTTCGTGGTATATTATTTTATATTAAGATGTATCTTGGTTTTCTATTAGTGAATTGTTTTGTTGATGTGGAGTTTTCACCTTACACAATCAGACAAGTACTTGGATACCCAAAATAGTCTGGCTCAGGAGATTGGGCCAGACGTTGTACAGTCATTGTGTCTTTACTCAAAGCTAATCAGCTACTCTCCCTTAGCTAGATACAAATGGTCATTTCTGGTGTTGTGTTATACAATTTACATTGTCCCCTTTATAAGGATAAATATTTGAGAATGGGAGATAGGCAAATAAATTGCAGGCCACATACAAACATATCCTTAAAACCCCATCAATGTTAATGTGTTAACATGTAATTTCTTTCTTTTTTTTTTTTTTTTTTTAAAGGATTTTATTTATTTACTTAACAGAGACAGAGTGAGAGAGGAAAACATAAGCAGGGGGAGTGGGAGAGGGAGAAGCAGGCTTCCTGCCGAGCAGGGATCCTGATGGCGGGGCTCGATCCCAGGACCCTGGGATCATGACCTGAGCTGAAGGCAGATGCCCAACGACTGAGCCACCTAGGCACCCCAACATGTAATTTCTTAAGCCCAAAATAAGAATCGTTCCTGAAAAGCTGATGCTTCCTGAAAAGTTAATGCTAAAGACTGATTAACTCCATAAGAAGGGAAATAATACTTCTAAACGTAGATAATACGAATCTGAGTTAACTTAAGAATAATAACCTAAGGCCAGTAGATATTTATGTAGTTTATGTGCTAAACTGACCCTTACAAAATACTTGTATTAGTCAGATTAGAGTTTCCACCTATGATCATATCAGTATTTCCATTTGATTTTAGGAATTTGAAAATTGGCTGTAAAAATGTGCTTCAGGTAAAACTTGAAGATAAGCATCAGGGGGTATGTTTTTTTTAGTGACTGTTTCTGGGAAAAGTACGTATGTGAAATGATGCAGAAAATCCATCTAGACAGTTAGGGACTGGCATTTTCTTCAGAGGGAGAAGAGAGTATAGAGAAAACTTTCTGTGAGGGTCCTCCTGTTCCATCTTATTTGTCATAAGGTGACTACTCATGTTACCTTTTACTTTTACTTGAATGCAGGTATCTGTTTTTGCAGTAAAAATGTATTTTAAGATCTTTTCTCAGTGGTTTTGCCTAAAAATTTGGCTAGTTTCAAAGAATGTTATAGAAAGCTATGGTCAAGATTATAGTTATACACACGC